TAAACCTAATCATCACCAAAGATTATACTATAAAAATGAAGCACTTGGCATTAATCTAGTTAGTTTCACTGGTTCAATGTGAAAAAGAAATAAAGGACAGTGAAACCAATCTCTACGAGCGAGTCTTTGAAATTAGTTTCTTTAAGATTTTCAGATCCATTCCTAACAGTGAGAGAAGGAGCATGTATTTTAGGCTCAGATCCAGGAACCATGTCAACAGGCTCGACTAAATCAGAAACATTGCGAGCCTTTTGTCCTATCGACTAAATCAAAAAAATAGTTCGAAAATATATCTATGAACTCATCCTTTCAACAGGCTTGACTAAATCAAAAACATTGCGAGCCTTTTGTCCTCGAATACAATGCAATTACTGTCTAGTATAATTTGTTTACATTAAATTGCAAAATATTTCTTGTCTTCAACACATGACAAAACATCTTATGTACTATGTGATTGCTACCTTTTTTTTTGTCCAAGGTTGCAAAACAGCTTAAACAAACAGAATAAGTCCCAATAACCTAACTGAACTATTCAAGAGACACTGATATGTACTACACAAGGCTCAACCTTCAACTATTACCTCTATTTTGAACTTACACTTTTATCTGCTCTCCATATCCTTCTTGGAGACAAAATTTTGTTGGGAGACGAAATTTTCGTTGTTTCCAATTGAACTTCCAACTTTGACACATCTAAGGATAATCTTTCCATGATAAAACGATCCAAATCAAACTCACTTTCATCGCCCTCGTTATTATTATCATCCTCACTAGAATAATCAGCCATGTTTTTCTTCGTTGCGGTAATATTTTTCATGGAATATGGTGACACATTGAATGAATTTGGGTCCATCTTCAAGAGTCTCTTCAAAGTGTCAATGGCAGGGTCTAAAATATCTAAGAATCCCATAACCCACGATGCATCATCTACAACTTCGGTGCGCTGTTGCAAGCAACAAATAACATTTTGAATATTAGTAGCTTTCCTAAATAAAGTAAATTTGATAACTACAGAAGTATAAATAGGTTTCTCAAATCTCATGACACATAAATTGACAAAAAACATTAGATAAAGACAGTGATCTTAACAATACCTGCTGGAAATAAAGGTTACGAATCTCTTCAGCACGCACAGAATTTCCTTGATCTTCCTCCAGTGATGCCCAAGTCATCCATGTCACATAACTTTGAGAATTTATATTCAACGAGGATCTAAATAATCTACGGGCAGATGAGTGATTGTTAACCCTCTGCTCAAGAACACCCCATGCCTGCTTATTTAAAAAATAAAAAATAAAAAATAAAAAAATTTTAAAAATAGTTGTTTCGAGAAGTGAATATCATGCTAGGTAAAGGATTAAGTATTTATCACAACATTTATTTATCATATGAAATCATGTCACCTGGAGGCACCTGGCCGCACTTTCACTGTTTGGATCAATTGATAACACTTTTTGGTATAATCGTCTAGCTGTATTCAAGTTTCCTTCCTTCCATTCCATCCAACCCCAAGCCTGTATATCCCCAAACATAGAATTAGGCTTTGTTTGGATAAAAGCGCTTATAGCATACGCACTTATCTTATATCTGCTTATGCATAAGCTATCATGGAGATTTTATGGAAATAATCAGAAAGCAGCTTATAGACATGTTATAAGTTATGTTCATAGGCTCTCTCAAACTGTCGCTCAAGTGTTTATGTTAGCAGATAAAGTTCAAATAAACCAATCCAAAAGAACACCCAAGTCATTTTGCAACATTGTTCTTCCTTCATGTTGGAACAACAACATGAATAGTGTAAAGTAATTGCAGAAAGACATAAGTATTCACAATGTAAAATTCACTTCACAACAAACAGTATAAAAATGGATAGAAATTTGAATAATGATATTTATGACAGGTAAGATCCAACCGAGTAAGCCACTTACAAACCAAACAGGTTGATGCTTCGGATCTAATTCAGATGCTCTCCTGAACAAAACACGAGCATAGTTTGCACTTGAGTGTTTGTATTCTATCAATGCAAGAGACTGAAGGAGAACGACATCCCTCGGATTTAGAGCATGGCCTATCTTTAGAAGTTTTTTTCCCTTATCTATCTTTCCCAAGTTAGCTTCAAATAGGCCCCATACATGCCAAGCAAACCTATTTTTAGGACTTGCCTGCACTGCATTCTATAAAATAAAAGAAAAGAAAAATAAGTCACTATTGATGAAATATCATCTGCTAAGTTCTATGGAGCAAAGGAATCAGAAATGAAATACGATCGAAAGAACAATATTAGGTATAACCTCAAACAATTTCGTCGCAGTACGATAATTTTCCTGTTCCACCTCCATTTGTGCCCAAGCCTATTCAGAAAAGATAAACATGACTTGATAAAATAACATGCATCACATAGCATTAACATGAACAATAAAATATAAGTTTTATTCAGAAACAATGTCGCTCGGATGATGGTGACTTACAAGCCAACTAGCACAGCTATTAGGATTACACTTTGTTGCCTGATTGAATAAATATCGAGCCTGCTGATATCGATTTGCCTTAGCTTCAAGCAATGCAAGTGTTTGGTATATGTACTCATTCGGTCCACAATATTGAAGACCTTTCGAAAGCAGATTCCTTGCCTTTGTTATATTTCCCTGCTTTAATTCTAGCACTGCCCAACCATGCCAAGCAGCAACGTGCTTCTTATCAGCAACCGTTGCAGCGTCGAAAAGCTCTCTTGCTCTTCCGACATTTCCCATTTTATTTTCAAGAACAGCCCAACACTGTTCAAAGAGAACTTTCAATTGTTAACTTCAGCAGAACACAAGTTTAATCGAAAATTGATATATCATCTGCGTATTAGAAGCAATCTCTTTCACTCCCAATGTTACCAGATGAAGACAGTTCTACAAGCCTCAACCGCTAATTTTGGTTAAACACTTCAGATTGAATCGGCTAACTTATCTGTTATCAGCTATAACCTAGTGTGTATGCAAAAATCCTAACTAAGCTAATTAATCCTAAGGATGTGCTTGGATTAATGGAATGTGATGGAATGGAATGAAGTGGTATATAATCAGATTCTATTTTTTTGATTTGCAAATAATGGACGGAGCAAAATGGAACATTATGGAATTCATTCCATCCTATTCTATCCAATCCTTCAATTTACATTCCACCTAAGTTAAGGTGCATGCAATGGAATGAACAAATTTGTTCTGTTCCACTCTGTCAAATTATTAAAAATACACAAACAATGGAATGAAATATCTGTTCCATTCCGCTCAGCTCCACTGCATTCGATCGTGTTCCATTCCGCTCCGCTCCGTTCTAGTCCATCAATTCATAAAACTAACATGCAAGTGATGTAACTAACTTCAAGAATCTCCAACTATATCTAACACATGACATGCAAAATTAAAAATGAACACTAACCTGCCAAATGAAGGCATTTTCACCCTGAGTAGCTTGGCAACCCTTCTCATAAATCTCTCTAGCTTGATCCGTTTTAGATTGCTTGCTCAAAATTTTCCCAAGTGCCACATAAAGTCTACCATCTTCAGGCCAATAGCATAAACACTTTCATAAACAAAACCACCAAAAAAAAAAAAACAAATCCCCATTATCAGAAAACACTCCACAAAAGCAAATATAGCAACATTTTCAGAAAACTTCAAAATCAAATCATCAAACACCTCACCTTCCTAAGTGTTGACTCTGCTTCTTCATAACGAAAGTTTCTACCCAAAACCTTTGCCTTATATAACGCCAAGTCCAAATTCACAGTCAAAAGCTTCTCTTTTGAGTCTGATTCGACCCGCCCAGGTTCAAATATCGGCATCTTCTTCGCGAATTCCGCAAGACTAGCATCCAAAGAAGAAGCTTGTGGTCCATCCTCGTCTATTTTCTTCTCTTTCTCCTCCTCCTCATCGGAGTTTTGGCCGGAAAACTCCGGTCGGCGAACCACAAGGGTCCCATCAAAGTTTGTGTCTTTGGGGGAGTTCTGTACGGAGGGAGAGGCATTGCTGTCTAACACCGAAGTTGAGTCCTTGAGAGTGCAACATGGTGCTATAAGATGAGAAGATGAAGAATGGAAGGGTAAAATGGGTGTTTTGAGGTTGAACTTGAAGAGATAGTTAGGGTTTTTGGACTGAGTGAAGAGTGTGAAATTTGGAGAAGAAGATGGAGGAGAAGGGATTGAGTTCATTTCTGATTAACGGATTAAACTGTTTCCTACTACAAACCAAATGTGGAGGAAGAAGATACCATGTACAATTACTATTATAGCCCTCTATTTTCTTTTACATAAAAAATTATCTGTTGTAAAGATTAAAAATTGAGTGTGTGCAAGGGTAATTTGGTAAATGTGCATGCTAGAGGTAGCTGGAACAAGATTATCCACGTAGCTACGTTGCTTGTGTGGCTAAGGCTATCATCTAAAAAGCAGATTGCAGTGACACGTGTAGGTTCATGAGTGGCCAGTGTAATCCGGTTCTTGATTTAAAAAACTCTAGCAAAAAAATACTATATAAAAAATGGTGAATAAACAAACAACATGCTCTTCAAGAGCTATATCCATTACAGTATATATTATCTGTGTAAAAAACATTTACACGAATAATCACAATCAATAATATATGTGATTTTAGAAGTATTTAGGATTAAAGTCAAATATTTTTAATTAATCAAAATATTATAATTTATTAATATTATAAAAAATAGTTACACTAACAATATACTATATAATGTGATTGAATTGAATATTTGTGTAGAAAAATTTACACCAATAGCCAAATGTATACAACACATTTTAAAAAGTTTACACCAAAGTTACTGAATAATCTTCCAGTTACAAATGAAATTTATGTCTACCAAAGTCCAAGAATCAGGTACAATATAGACCCGAATTCTCAGCCATTACTGCAGAAATATAATAAAACAACAAGAGAACCCTTTCCAGATATTCAATAATGTAAACATTAATTAAACCAATTCCCCCAACATAAAAACTAACCACCATTCCAGCGCCTCTTTCGAGCTGGCCTATGTTGCTTTGTTTCACCTATATCAACTGTCGACTCGGTGTTCAGCTTCAAACTCTTTTCAGCTTCTAAACTCTTTTCAGCTTCTTTTTTCAAACTAATAGGCTGCTTAAAGCGCTCCCTACGTTTCTCCATTTTAGCCAATGTAACAAGAATCTTCACGCTGTCGATATTACCCGTATGCAGTTCAGAATTGTTTCCATTTTGTTTCTTCCCACTGTCAGCAACTGCTGCATCTTCAGAAACACCTTTTCTGGATACAGAAACTTCCACACATGGCTCTTCTGTTACTATTTCACCTTCTTCTACATCCAAAGCTTTTTTCTGCCCTATATCTGAAAGGTTCTGAAGCGGTTTCTTATTTCTGTTGTCACACTGAGGATTTGAATTGTCAAATTTGATAGCCTTCTTACGAGAATCATCAAAACCTACCAAAGCTTTCCGCTTCTCAGCAATCCCTTGATCCACATTTTCAAGTCTGTCATTGCACGTCACTCTGGAATTTTTCGCAGACTGCAGAATCAGTCACAAACACCTCATAAATTTATTATCAAAAACACGGAACTATCTAACAAATAAAAACCACTGTTATTGAACTAGTATAATGCTTCAAACAAATAAGTGAAAGTGCAACAAGGAGAAATGATAAATGTGAGCTACTGAGTTAGAAGGCCTAATATAAATATAGATACTAATGGAATGCTCGACAGCAGTAGAGGGAAGTCATTAAAGGAAAAGCATGCTACGTAAAATTATTTCAAGAAAAATATCTACAAGTTACCCACTAAAAAATTGAATGGTAGAGACACTGATCACAGGGATTAAGGTCAAACATAAAACAAATTGACTTATGCTGGCTCGTTTACTCACCATAAGGTGAAAATATACTATGATCAACAGCGTCATTCATTTTTAAAGTTAAAAGCTGTTAAATCAATCTAGTTATAAGAAGTGTAAGAACTAAATGTACAAATCTCACTGAAGCAGTTATCTCAGACCAATTTAATCCAATCATGTAAATGGGGATATAATATATTGATTTCATTATGTAATGATCAAAATATTAACAATAATACATATCCAAATTACTAATTATGTTCCAGGAATCCATTTTTAGCAGTAACCTGGTTAAAATATATAGAATAGTCACAATGCATAGCCAGAACCTAGTCATCAAATACATATCTTGAAAATGTCATAGACAGACAGACACCATTATAAGAGGAGGGTGTCTAAGATACTGCCCTCACTGCAAAAAACACTTGTTCAGAAACATTAACAAGGTCCAAGAATTAGACTAAACATGTAAGTTCACTCTCCATACATACAAAATAATATTTCTACTTGAACATTGGTGCAAACTTTTGAAGATCATTACCACAGCCCTAGCAGAGAAATAAAACCAGTGACGGATGTTCTTTTGGCAACTACTCATGCTTGATGTCACACATGCACATGTCCAAGACTATTCTTAAATTTCTTGGGACTTTTCAGATATGAATACATAGTGGACTCTGGTTGAAGGTATCAACTGATTAAGTTCAGAAAATAAATGAACGATGTGCAAGCAAAATAAAATGTGCATTGGAAAAGCTGTAACCAACTGAATTATAAATAAAAAACATACGACAAGCCACATAACTATATAAATACAAAAGATCAAAGGATGTAACTAGCTCCTGATCAGCCATGCTAATTATCTATGTTGGTGATAACAATCATAATCACCACAACCCATTCCATAATGTCACATTCCCAGCACAACCCATACATGAATGTTTAGGCAGGTCCATTATCCAAGGGCAAAGGAAGAAAATGGGAATAACATTAGAGTTCCATTAAAAAAATCATGAAATTAGAGTATGCCCAAGAAAAGGGCATGTTGGTGGCAGAAAGATCCTGCCACAGACCCATTATAGATTTTTAAATGTGGCCTTACTTTGCAAAAGCAAGAGGCTGATTCCACAAACCTGTAACCTCTTGGTCACGTGACAGCAATACCAACCGTTGCATCATGGCTCCGTTTCAGTGACTACCCAGAATAAAATTAAACTAAGTTGAGGGAAAATATAAAATCAGCAATAACAAAAGGAGAAATACAGACCAGGAAAGTAATGCCAAACAATATGACATGCAGATAAACATACGTGACACAAAAGTAGCACCTTCAAGCCATGAAATACCACATTTTATTTTGGAAAGGAAGTCTGAGATTTATGCTATAATGACCTCATGAGCTTGCTTTTAATTTTGACTTGAAATTCTCTTCAATTTAGCTTCATAGGGTGCTGAACTTAAGGTCATCACTACAATCTTAACTAATTTTAAAGTATGAAAATAAAGAATGTAAAGATGGAAAAAATATATATAGCTGCATGAGGGCAGTGGTAGTACAATAGATATTGAATGAGAGAAAAAATTGGAGCCCAACAGATGTTGAGTAGCTCATAAGGATAAAAAGTACAGCAATACAGGTTCTTAACCATAATTTCCCCAGTTTTACCTTTCCTTCCCTATTAACCATGTCAACTGATTTCCTGCATTTCAGCACTGTCTGGTGACAGTAATCTCTACTCATAACCTTAGAGCTTCTTTTTAAAAAGCTGTCCCTATCTCTCTTTGACAATATTATCCGATGCTGCTGCAATTTTATATCATGTCTTTGCATCCTAGCATGCAAAGTTATATTTCTTTCATGTCTTTCGTGCCTTGGAGTTTCCTCGTAGAATATTGCACCCTCGTCAGGGTGCAATCCAGATCCATCATGATGCCAATGAATATTATCATTGTTGCTCCAGTGTGGAACCTCAGATGGCAGAGGGTAAAACTCACATTTGTCTACAGGAGATGTTGTCCAATCTTCTTCAGCAGCATCAATATAATCACGGTGCCAGTCATTTCCTCTGTTGGTAGCATTGTTATGTCTCTCATGTCCCCTAAAGCCATCACTTTCTCTATGCATATAATATCTTTCTGAATCAGTATAAGGTTGTCTCTGATACTTCAAATATGAGTTCTGATTAGATGCATAATCAGAGAACTTATCTTCCGGTTCCCCAGACCACAGGGTATCCGCAACTAAGGGGGGCCTGTGATGATGTCTACCCCTTCCTGAATATCTTTCTAGTACTCTATCACTTTGAAGAAACTGTTCTTCATGTGTACTATTCATAGATTCCCTTTCTCTCTTGGCAAAAGAAGAAGGCATTCTATAACTTCTGTTTAAAATCTCAAACTCATCTTCATCAAAATATGGATCAAAATCACAGTTTCTGTCCTTAAAGTGAGGCCTGTAATGCTTTATTTTCCTTCGATCTTCCCTATCTTTAGCAGGAAAGGAGGAATGCTTTGGAAGAAACTGCCTTGATTCCCTGTATGAGAGGAGACTTGGGTGATCATCAACATAATGTTTTCTACTAGCAGCATGCCAACCACTGTCTTCATTATACTTTATTAGAGTTCTTTGTTCAAAAACACACTCCCTTTTATCCCTACTTTTTATGATATATTGATTTTCATTCTCCCGGAATCTGTCTTCACTTTCCCTATCTGAATATTCACTGTATACTGCGTGATCCAGGTCATCAACATTTTTGTCAGCACCATAATAGCAAGTTTGTTTTGTTTCCCAATTATATGAAACATCGTTTCTTTCATGACTTCCAAAATATTGCAGTCGATCATCTGATCTGTAATTAACAAATTGATGACCCCATGGAGACAGATTCCTTCCGCTGGATCTGGGGATGTGAGAGACATTATTATCATTTTCTATGTTTTTTTTCAGCTTGGAACTGGGCATATGCCTACTACCACTTTGATGCCTCTGATCCTGTTGTACTGCACCTCTATTTCTTGAATAGTAAGATATATTTACAGGTTTTCTGTTGACACTGATGTTCTTTGAGGTTTTATCATAAAGTGACAAAGACTCCTTTAAGTTGGTATCAGAACTCACCAAATGACTTCTTAAAGGGCTGTGATTTTGTTCATTATAAACATGTAAACTATCTTCAGTTCCCTCAGAATCACTGTCAGAATAGGAAGTCAGACTAAGTTCTTGATCACCAAGTGATAATTCTGGTTCACTCCAGCATGGATCTGCACTACATGTGTCAATGCCAACTCTCTCTGTTTTTATTTCTTCCTCCAGCAATTTATCATCTTCGGAATCTCGGTCCTCTTCATCTGGATGCTGAACTTTAACCACATTAGGAATCAGCTCATTTCTGTGAAAAATCAAAGTCCACATCAGTTACGTTATGTGTTCATTTCCCTAAGAAACAAACAACTTCCTCCAGCAATTTTTTTTAACAAAAATATGTATAACTACAAAAATCATTTTTAAAAAAAAAGCTAAAACAAACGGGCCCTCAATAGAAAGAGAAAATCTAAGAAATCATTTAGAAAATACAATGAAGGAATGGTTTGTAACATGAAATGCTTGCGACTATATAAAAGTGTTAGGAAAATCCTAAAGTCTCACGTTGGTTGGAGATAGAGCATTGAAATAGTTTATATAGAGTGGCACCCCTCACCTTACAACCGGTTTTGTAAGGTTGGTTTAGGGTTTAGGGTTTTGACACCCCTCACCTTACCAACCGGTTTTGTAAGGTTGTGTTAGGCCAAACTCTAATATGGTATCAGAGCCTCGTTTAAGATCTGGTGGACCACCTGCTATCAGGTTTCCGCTATTGGACCACCCACCATTTATTTCCATGCTCCAAATATCCAGTTCTGGGCGTGAGGGGGCGTGTTAAGAGTCTCACATCGGACAATATATGGCATGAACATGTGTTTATAAGTGGGGATAATCCTCACTCTACCAACCGGTTTTGTAAGGTTATGTTAGGCCAAACTCTAATATGGTATCAGAGCCTATCCTAGATCTATTGTTGGGCTTCCCGCATCATCCACGCTTTGGGCTCATTGAGGCCCAAGCGTGAGGGGGTGTGTTGGACTTTCCGTCTTAATTGCGGTCCGCCCCTAGTCGCCTTAATTGCGACACTTTGCCTTGCCTTCATTGCAGCCCTTAACACCATTTTGTTGGCTTTGAAGGGGTGGATTTAGTCCCACATTTCTTAGAGATATGGCATGTGTTGTGTTTATAAGTAGGGGTAATCCTCACCTTACAAGCCGGCTTTGTAGGGATGAGTTAAACCCAACCCAAATTCTGATATGGTATCAGAGCCTATCAATTGGACCTTGAGTAGCCCACCATTTTAAATTCATGCGCCAAGCCCAAAAAAAGTGTTGGGCATGAAGGGGTGTGTTAGGAAAATCCTAAAGTCCCACATTGGTTAGAGATAGAGCATTGAAATAGTTTATATAGAGAGGCACCCCTCACCTTACCAACCGGTTTTGTAAGGTTGTGTTAAGCCAAACTCTAATAAAAAGATATATTAATTGTCCATAGAATGGAAAGTACTAATCAGTATGACTAAATTACTACGGTTATGCAATACCCCCTCTCTCATTCTCTACAAAATGATGTCTGGTTTCATGTCTCCAGTTTGATAGTAAAGAAAATTTTCATGTCCTTAACACCTGATACTTTCCAATGAAGAATAAAAAATGATGTCTGATTTCACACCTCCAAAAGACACGCCTATGTCCCATCTCGACACAGCTGCGTGCAAAGCTAACACACTACTTTTGACGCGACACAGCTGTGATTGTGTCGCTAGTGCAGGAACTTCGGAATGGCCATGAATCTGTTGTCTCATTAAGACACGGTTGTGTCTCTTTCTATTTTAATATTCAGTTTATTAAAAAATTATTTTTTAATCTTAATGGTGTTAAAGGGGTTAAGGAAACCTAATGATGGAGCTTTTTTTACATAGTGGAAGATTATCTTTGACACCGTTAGTGGTCTAGAGTTGAGGAAGGAAATTGAAGGTTGAGGGTGAAGATCATTTTGGTAAAGGGGTTCTTGTCTCTTAATCCTTATGTATCTCTTTAAGATTTTAGTTTTCATTGTTATTTTGGTGCCGTTGGTCATACTTCTAACATCATGGGAGAAACACATAAAAGCTACATCCTACAGTGGAATTGTCATAGTTACATCACATACACCATATAAAAGGAAACACAGATCATGAGACAAATAACAGACCTTTCTTGACCAGACGACTCTTCTGATTTTTTAGCATTTTCTAGCCGCTCATCAGATAGAACATCACTTTCACTGGAAGAATTGCTTTTGTCTCTATTATTTCCTGAAATTAATTCCCCCACGTCACATAAATCGTGTAAGTTGCTTTTGACAGAACCAGAATCGTTGCCAGGGGATCCCTGCACCTTGATCTGCTCCAAGGCACCGACAATTACTACATTGACATATGACAACTACATCACAAGAATCGTGGCAACCAGAGAGTGAGTGCAAACCTGTATAATAACATCAGAATCTATATCACGTGGACGCCTCACATGTATGGACGGTTGGCGCTCAACCACACTGTCCTCAACCTGTATTGCCCTGCCCTTTGGCTGAACAAACAGTAAATAACAAAGTCTCAGTTTCATGTTTGCATTCAACAGTTAAAAAGAAAGCGTGAAAGAATAATAAATATCAAAAGTGAAATGATTAAAATGTAGCAATGACTTGATATTGGCATACCACTTCACATTTTGATGATCGAGATGGTAAGCTCCCTGATACAGGTTGATCAAATTGCTCCTGTGTGGATGCCTGAAATACCATTTTCAGTAAGCAAGGTCAAACAAGAGCACTCAGCACAGTAAAACAGCTTAGCAGATTTTTACAAGTTTTTACAAACCTGATTCAGTTTAGTAGATTTATTAACAGGGATACTATTTTACATTGATGTTTACCATAGTTGGCCCTTTGAAATTTTGAGAGCATAAAGTTCTTAGTAGATAAGTAAACAAAAACTTCCTAATTGAAACCACACAACAATAATAACAAGTTTAACTGTTTAACACAAACAGATAATATGATGAGCAAAGTGGAAGGGATTTTAGTGAAAGCTACAAGCCTATTAGTACTGAAAGCTACAAGCCTATTAGTACTGAAAGCACAAGTTATGCTTGAAGCTGACTAGAAAAACCAAGAGACAAGCATTGCATCACATAAAACTACAAGTTGTGCTATTTGGGGCACAATATTGAACTCACCATAGACAAACAGTACTGCTTCCAGGTGTTCTCATCAAAACCAAAATTGAAGTAATCTGTTATGTCAGCTCCAGGAAGCCTCCACGGCTTCTCCTCAAATTTATCAATGTTTACATCGTATATTTTCCTGTAGGGAAAGGGAAGAAATCAGCAAAGAAGATAACATAATTGAATTCTGGAAACATTAAAATACATCAGTAATACCATTGTCAATGGATTAAAGTTTGGGATCATAGAACTGCACCATAATATAAATTTAATAACTTCATTTTCAGTTCATTAAGTAAATTGAAGCTCTATGTAGTTTCCCATTTTCTTTCGGAAGGGAATTGAGTAAGACAGTGAAAAACGAAATATAATAAGTTGAAATATGCATGAACAACAAAATATAGACACTAACCAATGCCAAGGAAGATACGATCCATCAAAGTAACTGGAGCTTGATGTCCGATTCTGGATATTATCCCCCCTTCCTTGAGGGAAAGATGAACAATTACCGGCCTTCGCGTTGTTCACAAACACGGACCCTTGAGTCTTCATAAACTACATAATGAATCATAATAAACAACCCAACTCAAAAAAACTAACCATTCAATAAATGTTTCAATTGCAGAAATACTGCCATATTAACCGCAAATTTAAACCCGATTAACATTGATTTTCAAGTGGTTAAATCTACCTTAGAACGAAAAAATTGTGAACCGTATCCACCTTTCACACCATCAGAAGCAACAAACTCCGAGCCAACCTTCGTCTGCTCAAAGCCCTCCCCGCCGCCGTTGTTATCCAAACCTCCATGAGCTTCCTCATCACAACCACGACAATCGTCGTCGTTCAAGACTATATCCAAACCATCGTCGCTGTCAGTTCCAGTGTAATCATCATTTGCAACGGCATCGGAAACAGCGGCATCGGAGGCATCGGCGTTGTTGTTTGAAACGACGCAGTCATCGTTATCACGTTGTTGATGAGGTTGTGTTGGAAGGAGTGGAAGTTGGAGGTCGGCGTAAAGTTCTCCAAAATCATCGTCAGCGAAACCGTGTTCCATTTATTGGTTATATGAAAATTGAAAAGTGCAGAGTGAGAACGTCAGTGAGTGAGGTCACGGTCATGAGATTGATTGACGTGAGTGTACAAGAGCGGAGACGGGAGAGAATATAGGCGGCTCTTTATCATTTCTATGGTATATTCATTGAGTGACAACCCAAAAACCCTTGCAATCTTAAACCCTGCCAATACTTGTTAAACTTTTTTTTTTTTAATAAATTAACTTAGTTTTTAAATTGCACGTTTAAAAATAAAAAATATTACAAAGATAAAACAAAATTCGCATACATTACAAAAATATTGTGTATTTAACCTTTAAAATTTTACAATCAACCATTTTAAATTGGAACTACTTAAAATTTTCATAATTTTAGTTTAAGGATATTTATAATCTTCTTCATCTTTTGGATACACTTTAGTCTTCTTCGTTTTCAAGATGTTGTTTTAGAGTTTAAAGGATAAAAGTATTAAATAGGTTTAGATCTCAACCTCAAAAGTCAATTTAAAGGGTGAGATTGTTATCACATATTTATCCATCCAATAGTCCAGAAATCTAAGTAATATGAGACTTCAAACAAACTCTAACATTACAACTACCAACTTCAACACCCACCATCGCTCCTAATGTGGGTTTGGGTTAGATGCTCACGTTGTAGTCTTTAATCTGACTATGATATCATGTTAAATATGCTTGGATCTCAACTTGAAAAGTTAACTCAAAGGGTGAGGTTTCTCTCACATATTTATACACTCAATAGCTCGGGAGCCTAAACAATTTAGAATTTTAAACAAACTCCAACATTACAACTATCAACTTCAACACCCACCTTCACGTCTAATGTGGCCCGGATCAAATGCACAGGTTGTAGTCCTTAACTCGACTCTAATACCATGTTAAATATGCTTCGATGTCAACTCTAACATGTAGCTTAAAGGGTGAGGTTGCTCTCACATAGTTACCTATCAAACGGTCTAGAAACTAAACAATGTGGGACTTCAAACAATCTCTAATACCACAACTACCAACTTCAACAAAAAGAAAGGATGGTTATGAAAAGAAGAAGAAAAAAGGATGGAGTGGACAAAATAGAAGAATTTTGATGATGAGGATTTTGAACGGTTTTTTTATTCATAACACAATATCTCTTAATTTGTAAAATTCAAAATCTGTGTTGGATAAGGTTTTAGAGAGTTTACATAAATTTTTCAAATACATTATATATTATAGTTTTTTGAAAATAAAAAATATGATAATGTAAACATTCATTTATCATTCTAACCAAAATCATAATTTCAAAAAATATTAGTTTTCTTTTACGAATTTACTTATCCAAAGTCATCTCAAACAAAGCCTGAGAATAATAAAGTGGTCTAATTGATATCAATTTAATATTTTTTTATTTTATGTGTCACGAGTTATTCCTTCTTATTATGGGAGTCTTTTATTTTGCACACTTCTATTGAAGAAGAGATACAGAAGATATTTTATTCTCTTTTTTTATTATTACATTAAAAGGGGAGAAATGTTTTTAGTGAATAAGATGTGAAATACTTATTACGACTTTACAAGGAAGGAGTAAGTTCTAAGTTAGTACTGGTTTTAAAATGGTGCATTACTTTAATGTTGCATTGTTGGGAAATAAGCTTGGAAGTTCTTGACCAAATCGATGTTAAGGTAACCAAATTCTTCAAAGTTAAATAATGGTTAATACCCTTTTTAGTCCCTTGATTATACCTTGGGTCTATTTTGGTCCCTTAAATTTTAAAAAGATCAATTGAATCCCTTAATTCGTCAAATAGTGTCACGTTTGTCCCTTCTGTTAGTTCTATTAGTCAGAGTCAATAATATTTATCACTTAATGTCTATCTGGCACTTGCGTGGATACCAACTAAATAAATCATTCCATGTATAACTTGATTTAAGATACCAAGTGTGATGATATGTCATTTTTTTTTCAACTCAAAAAACCATAATTAGCTTGCACGATTCATTTGATAACATGATTAGCTTGCGCGATTCATTTGATTTGCTCAAGACTAACTTGTATGATCTTGTAGACATAGTTAACTTGATAAAACTCTTTAAAACTTTATCAATCATGTGAATTTGAACTAACTAGTATTGCTTAACCAAGAATGGTGCAACACTCGAATTCAAATGCCAACACCTAAGATGAACACACTCAAAACCCATCGACACCATATTTGAAACTTTTCACTAAAACCATCCTTAAGAGAAAAAAGTAAATTGGTTCCATGTCAAGCATATTTAAGAGCATTTGGAAAAATGAATGAACATCTTGCTTGCCATTTTCACCATGATGAACTAAAAATGTTGATCTTTGAATCTTCTCTGATGGCTATATCTTGATGTGATGAACGTGCGAGTCTCTTTTTGATCACTTCTGAATCGGGTGTTGAATGGAAACCCATCTAAACCAAATTCAAACACTCGTCCTGAAACAATCAACCTTTCTTGCAAATCTTCAGCACACCCCTATGCTTGATACTCAATACAAACGTGATGATAATGGTTAAAAAAATGATATGCAAGGCTAAAGTGAAAATAAGGGCATGACAGACGCCTAGAAGGTGGCTAGGAACCATATATGAGGATCCAACGTTTTTGATAATATCAAATCAAAGGGCACAAGAATCCTTATAAGGGTGTGGCATGTTATATTTCCTCCAATGGTAGTAAGGATCCTAGGGATACAAAATTTATGATTGCCTCACAGGGAGGAAAGGATCTTTTTATGATGTTCCAACATTTATGATTGTCGAAGGGCGACAAGAATCCTCTATGAGGGTGTAGCGTGTTACATCACCTTAAAGGGTGACAAGGATCCCTCTTAAGAATCCAACATTTGTGATCGCCTCACAAGGAGACAAGGATACCTCTATGAGGTTCTCACATTTGTGATCGCCAAAGAGCGACAAAAATCCCCTATGAGGGTGTAGTGTGTTACATCACCTCAAAGAGCATCAAGGAACCCTCTTAAGAGTCTAGTGTTTTTTATAGCCTAAAAGGAAGCAAGGATCCCTCTATAAGGATCCAATATTTATGATCGCCTTTCAAGGTGGTTTCCTTAGTTTCATACCAAGAAAAAGAGGAAAAACAACGTTGCAAGCATCTAAAAAAATATCAAAGTGACGAGCCTCGTTAAAAATCCTCACCCCCTCACGAGTCATAAGGGAAAATAGTGCACCCTCTAAAATAACTCATCCTTACAAATGACAAAGATATAATACCCCCTGATTAAAAATAATAATAAAGCACACAAAAAATGATAAGGTAAAAGATGTATTATGAAGCCTTCCCATTAAGGCTTCAATCTCCTATCTTCTCATTCTTCTGAGGGGGATATTCCCCGCCTTGGAAAGCAGTTTCTGATGACTTGATTCCTGAACCAACCTTCCTGGTATTCACACTTAGAGTTCATACGCTTTTCATCTTAAGACTCTCCACATAACACTTCTTAGCTATTTCTTGGTCTCCTTGGATGACTTTAACGCACTTGTTGGAGAGCTTGTACTTCATGCGCAAGTGTAAAATAGACAAGGTGGCACCCAATTGATTAAAATTTGGTCACCCTATAATTATATTATAAAAAGAGGGGCGTCTATAACCAGATATCAAACTTTAATATGCTTGGCGTGTTCCCTCACTCTAAAGGCTGTCTTCCACATTATGTAGCCTTTTAACAATACTTTCTCCCTAGAAAACTCAACCAATGATCCCTTGGAAGCTTTTAGGTAATCTAGGTCGAGGCTGAGCCTCTCAAGTGCATTCTAATAGGGGTATTTGAATATATCCCTTTATCTACCAAGACCATTATGATTTCTTAGTCATCACACTTCATGGTGATGACCATGGGGTCCTCATTGTAAGAGTTGATACCCGTTGCATCTTTCTTTGAAACAAAGATATCGACCTTCGACATCTTGGTCTCGCCCTTATTTGGTTTTGTGTGAATATTCTTTATATATTATACATGGCATGCATATCGTTTTCGGGTGAGGTTATTCTCACCGCCCTTGCAAATCCTCGTGTAATAATGTTGAGTGTGTGACATACAACCTTATCCCCACCTTCTTTGGATGGTTCCTTTCCTTTTCTAAGTACGGGGTTTCAAACGCCGTCACACCCGCAGTAACTGGTCCCGCCTGACCCTTGAAAGGAATAAGCTTTGACATATTTCTTTAGGTGAGCTTCATGGATCAAACGCTCTATCTCTTTCTTGAGCTAGTATCAATCTTTGATGTGGTATCCTTTAATCCTATCAAACTTACACCATCTTCCAGGCTATGGTCCCATAACCTCTGCTTTTGGAGTAGGAGGTGTAAGACTATCATGTAGGTGGAGAAATTTATGCAAGATCTGCTCACGATGAGTGTTCAAGGGCGTGAAGCTCTCCACAGCCTTTTCGCTTTGATTAAACGCTGCCTTGTCCTTGACAGTCGATGTGTAACTGATTTTCCATGGATGTTGTGCGTCTTTAGTGGTAGAAATGCGCTCCTTCACGTCAATGGAATTCTTCCCGGTGTTACACTCCTCGCCCTTTATATAGCATTCCACCCTTGTGACTATCTCCGCTAGGGAAGAGACTGGTCATTAGGGGAGGGATTTGTTATGGCTTACTTTTAGACCATTCTAAAATTCCCTCACGAACATTTATTAGTTTTGGATGGAAAACACCTATTGTGACTTCATTGAAACGGGTGAGGTATTCCCTCAGTGACTACAAGGAACCTTATTGGATGTTAAATAGACTAGAAGTATAAATCTTTATATGTCGATTGGCTGCGAATTGGTGCAAGAGTTTATTCACCAACTTCTAGTAGTTGGCAATGGAAGCTTGTTGTAGGCTCATACACCACTGTAAGGTTTCATATCTTAAACTTCCAAACAAGAGCTTTCACTTTAGAGAATCGAGAGCTCCTATGATGGCCATCTGCGTGTTTGATAGAGGCGACATGCTCGTAAGGGTCATTGCGCCC